TTATAAATTGTAGCAGTTTGATAAATATTAAAATTCTAAATAAATATTACCATATAATATTTAATATATTTTTTCGTTAAAACTACTCACATAATGTCGTCTATCATGAAAATTGACGGCAAAACAAATGAAATTTTTAGATGAATTATATATTATCTTTTATTATATAAAATTTATAGCATATAATTAATAATAGAAGTATTTTACTTTTACTTCTGAGGTTAACATCAAATATGGGTTTTATATTCTGTTCAAAGCTATGATTCCCATGAGATATAAGAGTTTGTATGGATTCAAACATTTTTATGGAAACAAATAAGTTATATATAAATTGCTAAACATATCAATATTACTCTTATTAATAATGTGATCATTATATAAAGGAGATACTATTCTCTCTCTCCGTCCCTCCCTCTCTCCCCAATTCTTATATAACAAACCTTTTCAAACAAAATGTATTGATTTACAATTGGGTCTTAAATATGAAATTTTACTATGTTATGTAAAATTATTCTGATAAAGATATACAATAAATTATTACAAATAATACAAAATTTTACAATTCTGAGCGGTTAAACAATATGGTGTATAACATTGATAAATTAGTATTAATTGTTTAATAATTAATTAGACACTAACTCTTAATAAGGTATTTATAAAATATTTAAAATGTGAGTTTTATTTTACTTTCAAATGACAAATTATTTAATAATTAATTGCTTAAATTTATTAATTTATTATAAGGCAGAGGATTTACAAAACAAAATCCATACATGTACAAATATTTCATAATAAATTAAATATTTTAATATTGAAGTACTACCCAATCTAATACTGTACATGTAGCTCATTAACTTATTAAAACAATTAATTTTAATGCATGATCACTATAGTTAATTGATTTTGTTGTAATAACAGTTATAATTGAATTATAGTTCATATCTATCAAATAATTCAGTAAAGGATTAAGCTTAATTATTTATATTCTTATGAAATGCAATCATATTTGTTGTTAAATAAATTATTTCTAACAATAAATAAGTAAAATATTCAGTATAGGGTTTAAGTGATAATGAAATGATATAAATTACATTAATATTTATTTCCAATGCATATAATTTACTTACTATTGACTATTTATGTGATTTGACATTAAATATATCACACATTAAATTAATGGGTAGTTAAAGAAAAAGACTATAAATGATATCATTTTACAAAATATTTATCGATTAAATTTTAAGTCAAACCTCTCTCTCTCTCTCTCTCGATAACATTCACTTTATATATTCTCTTGCTTATCATTAAAAGTAATTGAAATTCACATAAAAGCTAATTTGTTGCAGTGTTTTGCTTAAAGGACTAAAGCATTTATTTAAGCCGAGGAATAACCAAGAGTCAAATATTTAGTAATTAGTCTCAAAACATTTGTTTTTATTTTAAAAATGTTATCTAAAATTGTAAGGTTTAACACATTTAGTGTTGATTTAGGATTGTTTTTAAATAAATGTATATTTTTATAAAGTGTAGAGTTTACAGACGTACAGTGTATACTATAGACCACGGATGCTCACAGACATGTTTTCAGACATATATGTTGTACAATCATTGTATCTAATACTGTATCTGAATAGTATTAGTGAATACAAGGTCGTACATCAATGATAAGGCACATTTGCCCCTATTTTTGCCCCTGAGAGCACGGGAGCATTCGTGCTATAGACAGTGTTTTGTATTGACGTCTTGGATATTCCTACAGTAAAATAATATATCACAAACTGAAGGTTAAAATAGCGGAACACAAAAGATTCACTATCTCCATCACAAGATATTTGGTGTTTCGTCTTATTTTTCATACACCATATCATGACATCCCAAACAACTGATGGAAGTGCCGCACAAAACAACTCGAGAGAGAGAGAGAGAGAGAGAGAGAGAGAGAGAGAGAGGACAACGAAGTTTAGTAAAATAGTCTTACGTTAAACCATTTCATGACTTTTTAATTAAATTAATTTTTGAATAACTAAAAATTGACTGTAAATACATAATTGCCTGAATCTTAGCATTCATTTTATTTAAATTAGATTAACAATATTTGTATTTATTGTGGCGGTGGATCCAAAGTGCCATGGTCAATGCGATCCTTCCCACATACGAGTTAGAAGGGATGTCTTATGTCGGTTGAATTAAATTGATGTAGCATAACATTCAAACAATACATTTTATACATTGAGTGTTTTCAGTAAGAAATACTTCAAATTCCTATTCATTTCCTTATCCACTATACTATTATATGTATTGCATTTGTATAAAATTTATATCATTTGATATACAATTTATTCAATGAAAAATTGGTTTCGCCGTTGATTTCCCAAAACACACGGATTATGTGAATGGAAAAATGTGGGCCAATACTAAGAATGGCATTACAACTAAAGCACATAAAACATGGCATTTGACTTAAAATACAGTGCATTAGAGATATGGCCAATGAATTGATTGTTATTTTAGAAAATAATAGAGGATTTACTATTGTTTTTGGTTTGCTTTTGGGCTTTAGTTTTAGTCAATTGAAGACAAAGAATATAAGAAAATACAAAATATTTTGCAAAAAGAGTGAATAAAATCTCAAAGAGTAATGCAGTGAACAGTACTTTAGACACAATGTGTGCTATTATTTACAGAATATATTAATTTTATATCAAAATCACTATTTTTGGCATTATTTTCCAATATGTAAATGTTTGATGTAAATATAAATAAATTACTACATTATCATGAATTGTAGAATTTGATATCAATCCTATTTTCGTATGTAAAAATGTTATCAATCCCATTTATAAATGTTTGCAAATTATTTGCAAATGCAATTTTAGCACGTGGTAAAACAATTATACGAGATGGGAATAACATATGGGAAGCTATGTTATCAAGATATGTATAAATACAACATACTGTATAAGGCTTATTAGTTTCACAGATATCATGGAATATTATATATCAATACAGTATAACATTTAATGCATACAATTGACAAGATTTATATCTGGCAAATGGTTTTCTATAAATTCTATGTTCGTTATATAACATGTAATAGAAACATGTTTTTATCACGTTTTCACACTTAAAATAGAAAACTATCCAATCTAGATGAAATATAAATTACAATTAGATTCACCCATATCAGTTCCCAAATAATGGATCCAATGTTTTAAACAAATATTTATTTATTAATGCTTTTTAATAATACATGTTTATAACATAAATGTCATTCAATAGTAAAATATATGATTTAAATGAATAAAAGTAAACAAATATTTGTTGATTGAGTCAATAATTTGTAAAATGAAATTTACTTATAAAAAACAATAAAACTTTTTGTAAAAAATAATTGCAGTAAAAATTGCGGCACAAAATGTTTATGCGTTCAGAAATGAATACAATAAGGGATTAGTCGCTGTCCACCGACTCCTCCACCTCTTCCTTCTTAATCTCTGTCTTCATTTCGCGTTTAAACTCGCGTTTAATCTCAGACTTGATCTCGCGTTTGATTTCAGACTTGATCTCAGACTTGATTGGCTTCACGTCAACCTTTGTGTCCACGTCTTCGTCGTCGTCGATATCAATCGGTTCCTCTTTGATGGTCACCTCATTCTTCACGTCATACTTCTCTTCGTAGTCGTCCTCCTCCTCCTCCTTCACGTCCACGTCTTCGTCTGTTTCAGCATCTGATCCGTTGTCGAAGTCTCCGCCGCCATCGCTGTCCACTTCCTCCTCAGACTCCTCTTTAATCTCATCCATGTCTTCGTCATCGATGGACTTGGCTTTGGCTTTGCCATTGCTTTTGTCGGCCGACGCGTACTGTTTGGTCAACTCATCGTAAGGCTTGCGATCGCTGGCCAACCGCTCAACGATGGCATTGGTCTCCGCCTCCACTCTCGACAGCTTCTGCTTATAGTCGTTGTCGTACTTCTTGTCAAAGTCTTTGTCGTCGCGGATCTGATCGATGGACTCGAGAGTGCGTTTGATGTGGAGGTCGACAGCCGCCAGACCTTTGGTCGCCCGATAGTAGTAGTACTCGATCTCATTGGTCATCAGTGATTGCCATCTCTTCATACGACACATGTATTGCCGCCGCTTCTCGTCAGTCATGGCGTCCACCTCTTCGTCGGCCTCGACGTGAATCTTGTAAAAGTTGAGCCACTCTTTCAGCTCACGCTTTGTCTTCTTGCGGATCGCCTCGTCATCGATCAGTTCCGACAACGGCTTCGCGTCAACGGATCCGTTCGTGTCCTTCGCGGGCGACGCTCGACGACCGCCGGCGGCGCCGTTGCGGCCGCTCTTCTTCGCGGGCGACTTCTTCTTCCCCTTCAAAACCATTGTTGTTGTTGTCGTTTGTGTTGTCTCTGCGGAACCGTTGCCAGTGATGTCTTCAGACAACCAAACAATTGATCGCAAAACGAGTTGTCGTTTGAAATGAAATGTGTTTTTAAAAGACAAACGTTTGGACGAAACGACTGTTCACTCAATGAATGAAATGTTGTTTTTTGGACACTATTTCCCCTCAAATAGCGTTCAAAAGCCCGCATTAAATATGCGCTTAAATATAACGTTACTATTTATGCCATTTTCCCCTCCCTTTCATACACACAACACATTAGTTGTATGTGTTTTCTATTGTTTGCATTGTTGGCAAACCTACAATATTTGTGTGCCTCTTATGTGAACAAATATTTCTTATCTGATGTAACCATAAATAATGTTTTTATTTATTATTTTATCATATATTTAGACCCCTTTTAATACACAAAACTTTGTTGTAATAAATTCATAATAATTATTGTAAATGTATTTAATTTATATTTTATTAGTTTAAATATAATTTTATTATTAAAATACAATTAAAATTCAATAAAATATGTTTAAATATTATTAATCTTTTACTTATTATTTATAATGAAAACAAAAATAGTATACAAATCAATAAATGTAAGCAAATTCCCCTTATATTTAACAATAGGGTACTATTGGTTACATTCATCAGGAAATTAATTAATTATGCAAAATATATATTAATTTAATTAATATTATTATTATTTAAAGTATCGGAAGTTATATTAAAAGTTTTTGGTGTTTTGTATATTAATTATAGGATTCCCTGTGCAGTGAATTCCACGTAAAATATGGCAAAACCTATCAGTGAAGTAGAGATCGTGTCCTTTCAATCCTACCCCGGGTTACGGGCTTTGCGTGGTTTCTGAACGTTATGTGTCCGCCGGACTCCTCCTTCAGTGTCGCCATTAAATCCAACTTTTCTCTCAGTTTCTTCTCTTTCTCCACTTTATCCGTCCATAACTTTAGATTTGTTCTGAAGTTTAAACACATATTTAGCACATAAATCATTGTACAAGTGTTCAGTTCAGCACAACTTTGCCAACTCCAACGCTCAGGTATGCGGCATACCGTATGCCTCGAACCCTGATCTATGACCTCTCTCTCTCTCTCTCTCTCTCTCTCTCTCTCTCTCTCTCTCTCTCTCTCTCTCGACTCGTTATAATTGCTATCCTTTAACTTTNCTCTCTCTCTCTCTCTCTCTCTCTCTCTCGACTCGTTATAATTGCTATCCTTTAACTTTTACTCCTATATAGTTTTGTCTTTTCCAAGAATTTGGTTAAACTTCAAAATTCAACAAAAATATCTGAAATAATTGAAAAGTTTTGTTGAGAAGTCTCTAGACGTGTCTCCATTAGGGTCTGTAGTGAAACTCATCTGCAAATTATTTGCATTAATTAACTGCAAATAATTTACAGATGTATTTATACAGCAAATATTGAGGGAAATCCGTATTTGCTTTTTATTGGGATAGCAATTAAAATAAAATATTGAATTAGTTTTGCAAATACAGTGAATGTTTGCATAGATTGTATCAATATTTGAGGGCTCATTACAGGCATACCGGCGCGCGTCACGCAATTGGCAGTCATATATGGGAATAGAAAATAAATGCTATAATTATTACATGCAATGGTTTAAGTAAACCCTTGTGTTGGGCAACAATTGTGTCAATAATTTGAAGCACGGGATGGATATATTGGTGAGGAAGTCGACCTGAGAGGCGGGCTGTTCGTGCACTTTCTCCCTGTCCATCAATGGTATGGGCTTTCGGCCCAATTCCTTCTCGATGTCTCCCTGAGCGTAGAACTCTTCGAACAGTTCCTTCACCTGTTCCCGAGCCTCCATCCACGGCCGGGCCGTCGAGTTCAGGTCCGCCGCCGTCATCGATATCGCCTCTAATAGAAGTCTAATGATTGGGAAATTCATTTTAATAACCATTAATGTAAATTTTAGGCCACAAAAAACTAAGCTTGATCTGTTTGCATACTTGTGTTCGCTATTATTCCAGTCAAATGTCGCTGACGTTAACAGATTCTCCAGTTTTGCTTTGTTGGGGAAAAACAGCGCCAAATCTGTGGCCAGAATGCAGTGTTTAATAAGCGATAAAACTTTTTTATATTCCTGTGTCGACAGCGTATGTAATATATTGTGTCCATTTTGCTGATCAGATTGCATGCAAACGGATTTCAATCATTAGATAAATAGTTGATAAAGAGCATACTTTTATTCAATAAAAAGTAACTGACTTGTAATATATGAACGGTTTGGTTGTAGTGGTGGTGCTCTAATGGGGATGTCGTGTAAATGGCTGCTAATGGTGCGGATGAATGGATGAGAAACTGATTGGTTGTCCCCCTGTGGTCGAGATCATGGCAGAGGCCGCTGACAAAAAAGGCCAACTTTTCGAGCTTGGTGAAACGGTCGCAGTCGTGAATGAACACATACAGACTGTGGGCTACACTAAACCCATGCGTCCAGTTATGGTAGGGAACCCGACGGTAGTTTTTGCGTACGCTTAATGTGAACCTGTTGTTTATGATAGCAGTTCATATTAGTTAATGTTAATTATAATGTTAACCATATTAATTGCTAGCCCCATGTTATATGTGTGACATACCTATAGAGGTCATCGTTATCCAAATTAGGAATACCACTGATTTGTTCAAACACTTTAATAGTAGTGAGCAGTTTGTGGTCATCACTCAAATAGTACGGCGAAAACGATTGTCTAAAAATATATTCATAACATATAGTTTTGTAACATTTATAACTTGAAAGCGTCTGTAAGACACAAATACAGTTCATTTGCAACCAATGGACACCTACTCTAAGACATCGGGCGCTTTGAATTTGCCGATATCCTCGCGAGTCCTCTCCAGCTCTTCATTATTACTGGTGTTATGATAGGAGAGTATTTCGAGCGCCACTTTATTCTTCTGCTCAGACTTTCGGATTTTCTCGTACAACTGTTATCAATATATTGTCATATAATTAATCAATATATTGTCATATAATTAATCAATATATTGTTATTTTAACAATTTAACACTTATTTTAACAATTAATTGTGTGACACCTACCCGGGCGTGATCTAATGCCAGTCCACAATACGTGGCAAATGTACTGAAGTTTTCTTCGTCCATTTTATTGAAGTTTCCCTTCAATTTGTTGACCATCTGTACGACACCTATCACTCTATCGATAGATTATAATCATTAATAAACCGGTCATTCATTGTATTTCTTAATTGATTACTTATTTTTGCTGAATA